AGTGTTGCCAACTAGGATTCACTACAAAAGAACTAGACTTTTAGCGGCAACAATAGTCGCCACAAAAGACTAGAAAACTGTCACTAAAAGTTTTTAACATTAAATTCTAATTTTGTGTTTTTTTCTTCATTGTTTTTAAAAAATAAAAATGATATCTATTAAGTAGGAGTTTGAAGACACTGTATGTTTTATTTTATGTCATATGTAAATGTATAAAATGTACAATGATGCATTAAATAGTAGGAGATTTGAATCGAGAAGTAATTTTGATGATTTTCGTAATAATATTGTATGTTTTTAATATTGATATTGCAAGTTATTTACTTTTAGAAAATTAGGTTGCAATCAAAAATTAATTATCATATTTTCTTGTTGAAAAAATAGGTTTTACTAGCGAATGGTTGTTGGAGCCTTAGTCGCCACTAAAAATACTCATAACTTTTAGTGGCAATATTTTGGGAATTTGTGGCGACTTTGTCACCACTAAAGGTCAAGTTCTTTTGTAGTGAACCCTAGTTGGCAATGCTTAGGTGGAGGGATTAGTCCCATGTGGCTTGCCACGTCATTAAAAATTTGGGGTGTTAACTCTTGAGGGTATTTGTGGTCTCCTGAGATAACGGCGGGGGTATTTTTGATCCCAAAATGTAATGGAGGATATAAGTGGTCTATTTCACATAGTTCAGGGGCAATTTTAACCCTTTTCCGTATTATAATTCACTTGTTCAAGCAATGACTTAATTAGCATTAACTTTCTCCATATCAATATTTTTGACTTTGATTGATATAAGATCATTATATTGTTTCACCTTTTTGGTTGCACTAATTAAATGTTTCAAATGAAATATTTTCTCTCAAGTACATGTCCAACACCCCCTACCAAATTTAGTGACGGAGATAGAAATTTAGTGAAAGTGTGTAAATTTTATTCAGTTATATTAAAGGTGTGCAAAATTAAATATACAATTATAATAATGAATATTATTTAATTTCTGTACATCATATAATATTTCAACGAATAACGTGTATAGGATGTTTAATGTTCACTTTTCTGCAAATAAAATTTAGAATTATGACAACTAGATCTTTCACACGAGGCAACTATGATGAATCAAATGCTTTTATTATCTTTTTCTTTTGGGCACTTTATGTTTGTTCATTTATTTTTTCTTTTTTCCTTTTTCTTTTTAGTTTTGTTTGGAGAAGCTCATGTGGCTTAAGTTTTAATTTCACTCTGATTTATGGGTCACGAATTTGAGTTGTGCAATCAACCAACATCAGAATAAGCTATCAACATCATATTGATACATTTTTTAAGGGTGCGATCTTTTTTCAAATTTTACGTGAACGTGAAATGTTTAATACATCGAAGTTTGGACCATCCTTTTTCATATTATTACTATGCAGAGGAATGAATAAACGGATGAATTTCAAATACCAGATGATTATAAAAGTTAAAAGAAAGGATTAAACAAATGTGAGTTTAGATTAATGATTATGCCTGGAATATGGAGGGCAAAAAGTTGAAATGTATGAAAGGCAAAAAGGCTGCTAAAATCTAAATAAAGAGTTTAACAAGTAGCAAAATCTTTACCCTTTTAACCTTTGTGGCTGCTTGTCCTTATCCTGTCTTGACCTTTTACATTCTCAGATTCCTCCTTTTAACCTAAAATATATATTTTTATGTAAAAATAAATGAATGCACACCTTTAGAAGATGAAGATAGCGGAGATGAGAATATTCAGATGAATGTGTGGACATATTAGAAAGAGAAAATACATAAAGTCCCCATTAAACTTAGACCTTATTTTGAAGTAGACACTTAAAGTTTGTGGGAGTCTCATTATCCCATTGAATCATTTTCAACCAAACTAAATACGCTATTTTTAGCAATTTCTACTCCAATTCTCCACGCGTGTCTCTCACCCCCTAATAAAATAATATAATTATTTATATTTTTCTACCCGTTTTTATAAAGGCCGGGTTCTTAACTTTACCCGCCCACATTTTAACCTTTCCTCCTAATAATTTTTTTCTATCTTTTCTTCCCCAAAATTGTGATATTGAGCGATCTGAAGTAAGATTGATGCAATTTCCACTCATTGGGCTGTTTCAATTCTTACATAAAATTAATATTAATGAGTTCTAATTATTTGTATCGGTTAATGAGGTTGTTTTGAGAGAATCTAGTGGAGTATGAACAATAAATATTTTTGAGGTCAATCTCTTTCTTTTTTTCTTTTTTTTTGCTTTCTGTGTGTTTAGTCTGAGTTTTTCTTCAATTTTTGAATAATATTATCAGAGGACGAAGGAGAATCTAGCATCTGCGTGTGGTATCCTCTTTCTGAAAATGGGTTTTTATAAAAAAAAAGTCAGAAATTCGAGGATTGTTGTTGGCTTAATGTAGTACTCATCTTGTGAAAGTGAATCGAAGTTTGAGAGATATTGCAGTGTTGACTCGTCATGGCATTGTAGCAAGCTTCAATGGCTATCAATGGTGTTTGAATTAATTTGGGGAAGATGGGTCTTTTTCTAAAATAAAGAATTCAATTTACAATGCCACATGGCCGTTTTATATTGGTTTGGGGTTGTTTTTTAAGACACTCATGCGCCGTGAAAACGTGAAAACATAGCAGGTGCAGAGGTGGGTCAAAATGACATATTTAGTTTGATAGAAAGTAGTTTAGTGGGATAATATGACTTCCACAAACTTTAAGTGTCTACTTCAAAATAAGGTCTAAGTTCAATGGGGACTTTATGTAGAAAAAATGAAAATTAGGAACAAAGTTTTACAGAAGTGGCCTCGTAGCTGACAAGATGAAGGAAGCGAAATTGAGATAGTTTGAATATGTGAAGAGAAGGTGTGTGGAAAGTTGACTATAACAAGTTTTATAAGAGATAGAGGATGTGATTAGACAAAACATGACCTATCTCCAGCTTATTGAAGACATGATCCTGAATACGAAAGTATGTATGTTGAAGATTACGTAGTAAATAATCGAGTGTTGTCATACTTTTAAGTAGGATAAGCAGCATTTTTTGGCATTCATGACACATCTTATTTTTCATTTTTTATTAAAACATGTTGCTTCATTTACTTTGTTTATCTTGCTATTTTATTATCGCTATTTTTCTTCTAATCCTTCTTTGTTTACACATTTTGAACCTAAGGTTTATCGAAAACAACCTTCCTGCCCAACAAAAATAGGAATAAAGTCTAAGTACATCCTACCTTACTCAAATCCCACTTGAGGAACTACACTGAATATGTGATTGTTGTTTACGTCCAAAAAGAATAACCTAGATTCAAGGTATGATTGTCAAATTAACTTTTAAATATTATTAATCCTTCAGCCCTTCGCCTATCGACTTGGAAGGCAAGCTACCTTGATCCATTTTCGACTTCAATTCGTTACGCTCAGAAGCTCCAACTAACCCTTGTACAAAATAGCATGGAGAACACATAAGTATTCATTAACTTGTTCCAAAGTACCAGTTACACCTAACAAACAAGTGTATTGTTACAAGTACCAGAACACAGAGTACCATACATATATATATAATTGCAGAGAAGAGGCGCAGCACGACAGATTGCTCTGACTTAATTTATGGCAAGAAAGAGGTGCAGAACGACGAATTGCACTGACTTGTTGATGGCAAGTCCGCAATGAAATTGTGATTTTCAAAATGTGGTTCCTTCGAAATATATCTTACCAGTTATTGCTTCAGCCTCTGCGCAATTGTGGCTTATTGCTTCACTTTTTCTTGCTTCATAAGTTGTATAAACTCTCCAAACACTGCCCAGATAAACAAAGGATACAATCAGTTTTGATTCAAGTAGCTGCATTCATGTTCAAGCAAATTTTGATTCACTCGACCCTTTTATCTTTCTATTCGTCTCAAAAATACCGTTAGAAACTGAAATAATCGGGAGCTACCATGAAACACAAGACCAGCTAGAAATACTTTAATTGACATAAGACAGCAGAATTTGTTTGATGAAGATTGACAAGACAGCAGAATCCTAGATTGGTCATGTGACATCATTATTCTCAAGATTGTACTTATCGTCTTCGTCAAATCCTCATAATAGACAGCAATATTCATTGAAAGTTTACAGCTAAAGACAGACAACCACTGAAACAAGTGTCCGAGGTTTGTTGCATACGAGGAGGATCGAGTTAGGATATGTTTACCAGGATCTGAATCATGAGGTCCTGGAGATGCCTCGGGATGGTATTGAAGTGACATCAGCTTCATTTTAGATGAGGCAAGACCAGCACAACTTCCGTCATTTAAATTTACATGAGTCACCTCTACACCCTCTGGAAGAGACTTGGGGTCAACAGCATAGTTGTGATTCTGCAAATGGAAAGTCATCAAGACTGTAAAAATACAATAACAGGTGCCCAATGTAGTCCCACAAAATAGGGTCTGAGGAGGGTAGAGTGTATGCAGACCTTACCCCTACCTCAAAGGTAGAGAGGTTGTCTCTGATAGACCCTCGGATCAAGAAAAAACAGTCTAAGGCAGTCCGGAAAAAGAAGTAATGGAAGTACAAGAAACAACAAATATCAACAAAAATTGAAGGACAAGAAACTACAAGAGTGATACTACAATTACTAGTATAGATGGACGGCAAGACAATGCACTCCTACCTACTAACCTTCTACCCTAATCCGTTCCTCCATAACCTCCTATCTAAGGTCATCCACGCTACAAATCTGAAGTACAAACAGCTCTAATTTAAACTAAAAACGTAGACCACCATCATTATGCAATGAATGTAGTACTCAAAGGGATGTACACGCTGATGAACTAAGGTGTAATTGTACAGAAAGTTTGGAAATCGACCAGAAGCAATCAAGCTAGAGTTTTCTATTGCACATACCTGGGCACTGATCTCAACACAGCCATTTCGAAGGTTTCGAACTGGATGGTTTCCTCCATGATGGCCGAATTTCATTTTGAATGTCTTACCCCCCAATGCTTGACCAAGCAACTGGTGACCCATACAAATGCCAAAAATAGGAATTTTTCCAATAAGTTCTTTTACTGCTTTGACTGCATAGGGAACTGCAGAGGGATCTCCTGGCCCATTGCTGAAAAGAACTCCATCAGGTTTCATCTTCAGAGTTTCAGATGCTGGCCATGTTGAAGGAACAACAGTGATTTTACAGCCGTAGGATGCTAAGCGCCGAAGTATATTATGCTTGATTCCAAAATCATATGCAACGACCTTCATCCAATGTCGGGGAAAAAAGAATTAGTTTGCTCACAAGAAACAATGTTCTTTTCCAGAATCTAATAAACTCTAACAATACTGACATTGAAAGTTTCTTTATTTCTTCCATTATCATTAAACTCCCAATCTGAGGCAGTTCTATCAATCCATTCGTAAGGAGATTTGCATGAAACACCACTGATTAGATCCACACCTACACAACGTAATACCAGTGTTATCAAAAGCAAAAAGCGCAAAAAACTCTTAAGGTCCTTTGGGGCTTTAAGCACAAATAAAGTGTGGGCTTTATTAAAAAGAGGCGCAAATGGAGAAAAAAAATAGAAATATGTATGTGTAGCCAAGATTACCAATCATAAGCATGAATAGCAAATATATAGACAAAGAAATTGAAAAAAAGATACGATAAAAGTGAAATATCAATTGTGTAGTGTACATCTTCAGGATTACGCTCATTGACAAGGAAAAATATGCCTTAGAGCCTGGATGAAGGCACTGAAGCACACATAAAGCAAGGCGAAGCGCTCAATATGTTTTGCACCTCGCTTCAAGGCTTAAGCGTGCCTTTGACAAACCCATCCCAATTTGTTGTTCACCGATGATGGATTCCCATTTAGAAGTGTTCATGCTCCAGTTGAGGTCTGGGTGTGCGGAGGAGTGTTAAGATGTCCCACATCGGTAGAGGGATGAGAATTTGGTCTCTTAATATGGACTTGGACAAACCTCCCCTCATGAGGTAGCTTTTGGGGTTGAGTTAGGCCCAGGTGTCATATCTTTACAATTTTAAAAGAAAAATTGTTTCCCAAAATAAGGAAGATACAGGGCTGGTAAAACTTACCCACAATGTCCCATGTACGGGACATTTCAAGAAGTTCTTCGTCACTTTTTGAATTTTCTGTGCTCAATACTCCAATGAGGCTACCGTCTTCTCTCAATCTTCGTGTAATTGCTCGAGTGTCAACATCATCTATTGCATGGTAGAGTGGCTAATATCAGAGAATTTAAATTCCATAATTTGACATGGAAATGACAAGTGGTCTTGTATAGGACACACATAGGACTTACATATACCCATGATGTTCCTTTCAGCCAAATAGTCATCAAGTGTCTCTTTGCATCTCCAATTTGAGGTGCTGAGAGAAATATACAACAATTTAAACTATGATCATGATACCGTTTAAAGCCTCATTTGGAAAGCAGGGCATAGCGACCAAACCTGATACTTAAGCTTCTAATGACTAATCCTGCAAGAAAGCACTGCATCGATTCTTCATCGCCTGAGCAGAGAAATTCCAAAACAGTCACAAAAGATTATTCATACAAAAATAACAATCTGTCATGAAACAAACGCTAAACGCACCAAAATTGACCCCAGTATTCCCGATATGAGGGTTAGTCATCAAGACAAACTGGCCCGCATAACTGGGATCTGTAATTATCTCCTGATACCTGTAATATCAGGAAATATAAATAGCAGCTTGTAAATAGACACTCAGAAGAAAAAAGTGTCAAGTAGAAAGAGTTGAAAGTAGAGAACAGAAAAAATTGTTCTTTTCTGCATTCTCTGAATAACTCTATGAAGTAATGGTGGAGAATAATCAAGATATGCATGACTTAATTTGAACATCATTTTTATTACCAAAAAAAAAAAATAACAGAAGGGGATTTTCTTCATATTGGAAATGAGCTTTCATGTATTCATTTTCTAGGGAAGAGGTTATCAAGAAAAGGAATTAGTTTACTTCCTGAGAACATCTCATAGTATTTCTTCAGGAATCTTCACGAGTCATAGATAAAATAAGGAGGTAATGAAATCATTTAAAGAATGCAAAGAACAAAGAATACTTAAATCCTACTTCCACCTGATAAAACACCCACTTAAGTAGAAATCACTACATGCTTGGACTTCTTTTCTGGGGAAGAGGGAGTGCTGGGGAATTGCTTGAACGAAAGCCAAATGTTATTTAATAGTTTTACGCAAACTTGAGGTAACAATACCTTTACTGAAATCATTGTGCATAGATCGGCATAAATGGAAGTTTATACGACCAAATTTCAAAATTAAATAAATGTTTGGGGAAAATGATGATGAAACAAGCCGATAATAGTTCTGTACTAGTTCATTATGAATGCTCTGACTACCACCTAAATTGGGTAAGATCGAAAGCTAAAGATAATTTCGTACATAATGTATCCTTTTAAGAAGATATGTAGTCATAAAATAAGCAAGCAAAAAAAATTGTGTTACCCAGTTAAAGAGGTATTAAAAACCACTTCTCCAACTTGGGTTCCATGAGCACCAAATGATTTTGCCTTCCAAATTGAACCATCCTCGAGGACAAGTCTAGCATCTGCTACCTTCCAAGGTCTTTCAACCACACCTGCAGCTCCTGCAGCAATATTTAAATCATTCAAAGTTCTAATATACGCTGTTAATTTCAAATAAGAATAAAAGGTCCTTGAACTTATAAAGAAAACTTAAAAGTACTGAACTGAAAAATGGAAAAATAACACAGATTTGCATCATACCGAAATTGAGATGGGACTAAATATGTCTCAGCTTATGGAGAAACAAAAAAGAAGCAAATGTCGAAACCCAGAAAATTACAACAAAATCTTATTTCATCCTCTTTGTGTGACTAAAGTAGTGGTTTAATGGAATACAAACAAATTAAAGCCCCATGAAACTGATAAGTAAAGTAGCCCAGCTTTCTCTACAATATAAGCTGAGCTAAGGCCAACAACTTCCAATGCTTTGGAACATGGGCTTGTAACTTAGGAGCATTTCACCATGAAATTTTCACTTCATTCCAGAGTTGTACTCCAATTAAACACATTTAGCCATAAAATTCTGAAATTTTCAAAATTTTGAAAAACGAACATTTTAAAAAGAAGGTGTTTTTCACCTTTTTCCACTCCAAATTACTCACAAAAAGCCAAAAACAACTCTAGATATTATTTTTCACTTTATAAACAAAAGCAACCTTTTTTTCAATTTTCACCAATGAAACATGGCTAATCTACCACTAAATAAACTAGAATGAGAACTCATAAGCTTCAAATCATAATTCCGCCTATAATTTACACACTTAAACAGTTGAATAACAACAACAAAACACAAATGAATTCAGATATAATCATATGATACACCAAAAGAAAAAAAACTAACCAGAAAGTGCACCATCTGAAGAGCATTTAACAGTGAAAACTCTGAAATTTGCAGACTTTTTCGAAAAAACTGGGCTTGTAATTGTAGTAGAAACTGCATTGTGAATCTTCAAGCAACCATCCATAGCTTAATTCCTAAAAAAAAAGATATCTTCTTATGAACAAAAATATGGATACTGCGCTAGCGAGGGTTCGATGGCCAACTTTTAGGTTTTAGCCTTAAAATGTGTCATTAGGTGCGGAACTAAATTATCTCGAGATTATAATTGTATATTTTGAGATTAAGTTTGAGATAAAACTTATATCGAGTTTGATTGACATTATAAATTATCTTGGAATTGTATACTATAAATATCTTATTTGGAAGTATATCTTTTTCAATAGATGTATAACTAATATTCACTTTATTTGATATTTTCTCTGTTTAAAAAATAATAGTCTAGTTTAACTTGTCACTGAAGTTTAAGAAAATAAAGAAAAAAAATTCAATTTCGTGATCCTAAATTAAAATTAGTCAAATATATCAAAATATCCTTTAATTCTAGAGTCTTAAATATGTCATCGGAAAAAACTGAAATTAAAGTATATCAAAAGAAAAATGATCATTCTTTCTTGAATAGACTAAAAAGAAAAATAGGTCAGTTTTTAAACAAAGGAAGTATTATGTTTTATATAACTAATATATGTCAAATCATGATATTTACAGTGTAATAATTTTTAATGAATGATTAAAAACACAATTGTCCTGAAAAAAATTTCTACATCATTCACACTATATTTGTGGATGATATTTTTATGAATGTTATTTTTAGTACACCCCAATCAAAAAGTTCATGATAAATAATTTCAAAATAATTAATATCACTGTTAGCAATACACATTATTTAACCTATTTTTATACACTCTGGCCAAAAAGTACAACTCAAATATCAAGGCAAAAATTGGTTATAACATTAAATTGTTTCATATTGGGCCTGAAAACCCATTGTAGGATTTGGCCCAATACCCGATTCACTCTTTTCTTTTCTTCTTCTTTCTCACTGGAAGCTCTCTCACAAGCTCTCAGCTATGGCTCCTCTCAAAATTCTCCTCTGTGGTGATGTACTCGGCCGTCTCAATCAGCTATTCAAACGCGTTTCTTCGGTTCGTCGTCTTCTCTACTTTCATATATATTATGTATGTATTCATAAAATAGATAGTTTTTAACAGAGGCGGATGCACAGTATTGGTACCGAGTTCATTTGAATCCAATACTTTTGATACGGAGAAGTAATTTATGTTTTAAATCCACGAAAATGCTACAAATAGAACACATAACTTTGAAAATACTATGGGAGTAATGCTAAGCACCTTTAAGAGTAATTATTAAATTTAAATTATTGCTGACTTTAAATTCTGAATTTGGTATTGTGTGTAAGTACGAATTACTTAGTTTAGAGCTGAGATATGTTGCGATTACTTAGTTTAGAGTTGAGGTTGTGGAGGTTGTGCGATTTCAGCTTAGAGCTAGAAGGTTAGTAGATAGTGTTGATACTTAGAAGCTATTGGAAAATATCAATTCTAGTATACTTAGTGTCAGTTTATTATAGTTTGTACATTGTGTATATATATGGAACTTAGCATATTGTAAGTACACATGGGTCTTTACAGATGAAATAAAAGGTTCTTTGTCTCTCTCCATTCCACGGACTCCATGGCAAGATATTTTGATTTCTCATTCGAATATGAAGTGTAGCAGATAGTAGTGTGTTGTCTCGCAATCCATCCATCCTATTAGTTGTAGTTTCTTGCTCTTCTATAGATAAGAGGTGAGGAAGACACAAATTAGGCTAGAAGGTTAGTAGATAGTGTTGATACTTAGAAGCTATTGGAAAATATCAATTCTAGTATACTTAGTGTCAGTTTATTATAGTTTGTACATTGTGTATATATATGGAACTTAGCATATTGTAAGTACACATGGGTCTTTACAGATGAAATAAAAGGTTCTTTGTCTCTCTCCATTCCACGGACTCCATGGCAAGATATTTTGATTTCTCATTCGAATATGAAGTGTAGCAGATAGTAGTGTGTTGTCTCGCAATCCATCCATCCTATTAGTTGTAGTTTCTTGCTCTTCTATAGATAAGAGGTGAGGAAGACACAAATTAGGCTAGAAGGTTAGTAGATAGTAGTGTGTTGTCAAGCTATCTGTCCATCTTAGAAGTCGTAGTTTCTTGCCCTTGGATAGATAGGAGGTTGTGGAGAACACAAACGAGGCTAGAAGGTTAGTATATAGTAGTGTGTTGTCAAGCTAGCCGTCCATCTTAGTAGTCATAGTTTCTTGCCCTTTGATAGATAGAAGGTCATGGAGGAACATATTAGGCGAAAAGGTTAGTATATAGTAGTGTGTTGTCTCGCTATATGTCCATCCTAGTAGTTGTAGTTTCTAGCCCTTCGATTCCTGATGCTTTCTGTTTTTTTTTCCGTATATTGATGATCGTATTATTTTGTTGTAGTAACTGCTTAGAATGCTTTCACTTACATTACTTCTTTTTGGACTGCTTGGGACTGTTCATTTCTTGAGTCGAGGGTCTATCAGGACCAACCTCTCTACTTCTGAGGTAGGGGTAAGGTCTACATACATTCTACCCTCCCCAGACTCCACCTTGTGGGACTACATTGGGTATGTTGTTGTAGTTTAGAGCTGAACTTGAACTCTTTCAGGTGAACAAGGCAGCTGGTCCATTTGATGCTCTTCTTTGCGTAGGCCAATTTTTTCCTGATTCGGTAGAGGGGATTGAGGAATTCAATGGCTACATTGAGGGGCGTTCCAAGATTCCGATGCCGACCTATTTCATTGGTGATTATGGTGCAGGGTCCCCAAAAATATTGTCAGAAGCATTGAAGGACCCGAGTAACAAAGGGTTTAAGATGGAGGGTTTAAGAGTCTGTGACAATTTGTACTGGTTGAAAGGAAGTGGGAAGTTTAGCCTTCATGGTAAGACATTAACCATCACCTCGTTTATCTTTTTATTCCAATTTGCTTAATGAAAGTGAAAGACTTAGTGTAAGGACTGAACGGGCTGCTTAGAAGTTTATGTGTCTGCATCCACTTTTTTTTCTTCGTAATTGTGGTGTCCTGGCAAGCTTGAGCTCTCTCGCGGAAAAAAAACTTCCCATTTTTCCCTCAGCTAGAATTTTAACCTGAGACCTCATGGTTCAGCCTACTTTGTTAACCAATAGGCCACACCCTGGGGTGTTGTCTGCATCTACTCTACTAGGGGAGGTGTGTGTATAGTTGGAAATGTCTATTGGCTGGACAAGCCAGTTTATGCACACTAATGCAATTTCACATAGCTTTACCCAAGGCTTAGACAGGTGGAATGAAATCAACTTGCTCTTGTTTTTCTGGGATATAAACCCTGGTCTCCATATGGTCTTTTCCGGCTTCATTATAGTTAAGCCTCATCCATACATGCTTAAAAGATGTATGTTACACAAAGTTTGTATTTGTTGCTACAAAAGAATGGTGGCTTGTACACACACCCACAATTTTTAATCTGCCTTGGTGGATAGGGATAGAGAGGGGAGCATTTGGATAATATTTAAAGTTGTTGGGCAAAGCAGATGGGTGCACCTTTTTCCAAATGACTTTGTTTAATGCAGTTTATCATTTCCTTGTTCTAACTTGTACTGTTTGGTCTAGCAGTTCACACATGTAGCAAGAATGAAATCTTGGCACAGATATATTGAAAGCTGTTAAGTCTTTAACACTATCGGCTAAAATTCTCTATAGTAGTTGGTAAAAAAAGGGTTGTATTGTCTCCTACCTCTCTGTGGTATTGAACAAAAGCCTATGTCATTGCTTACAGAAGCCAAATGGACTATATGTTGCTAAATTATTAACCCAATGTTGTATTGAATTAAAGATAGTGGACAGTTGCACCATTTCCAAGTTATACATTGTGAGATGCCGGTGTCTATGATTTGAAAACTGGAACTTTTCATGAGAGTATCTAAGCACCGTGCAATTTTACATATCCGAAAGAAAATAAAATGTGAGAACATCCAAACATCAAACAATTTATCTTAATTTCGTGAAGTGTGCCTTTTTTGCTTAATTGGCTAGTTTGTTTTCTCAATTCATTGGGGATTGAGGTGCAGTTGGTTGTCCAATTGATGTTATTGGTTATTATTGTCGTATTCAATGTTATATCGTAATAACTGCATCCAGTCCACGATAACCCTGGGGTTTACCCTGATATTGGAAGGTTCATCCTATTGATTGGTTAATTTGCTTTGTGAGAATAGAATCTCACCAAACAGAGGGTGTCTAAGCTCATGTTATTGGATTAGTGAGACTGCAAGAGATTAGGGTTTCATATTATGTCTCCGTATCGAAATACTGTTTTCTTATATGGAGAGGTGCATGACTCAACAATAATATTTTTTGTTGGATATGATAGCTGATATACTGTACTCATGTTTAGGGTTATCTGTGGCATACTTATCTGGTAGGCGAACTCCAAGTGGAACTCAATTTGGAACATATAGTCAAGATGATGTTGATGCTTTGAGGGCTTTAGCAGAGGATCCAGGAACAGTAGACATCTTTCTGACATATCCTTTGGTTTTATATTGATCTTTGTCATTTTCTTCACCCCCCTATTGCAAGTACTCTATACAATCTCTTTGATTTCCTTAATCAAAAAACACTAATGAGTGGCCCAGTGGAGTAACAAATGGAACGACATCAAAAGCTCTTGTAGAAATTTCTGATTCATCTGGGAGTGATCCCACAGTGTCAGAGTTGGTAACTGAGATTAAGCCTCGGTAAGTGATCATATTTTTCAAAATACAGTTCACTTGTTGAGTTGGTGTCATGGGCAACCAAGTCCTTTGCTCTTGAGCTTCATTTTGAACATTCCTTCTCGACCTTTGGAGAAGAAAATTTGAACTCCTCAAAATTTGGAGCCAACTATGTGGAATTTTTCATTTTAATTTTGTACTACAAAATTTATTGTTTGTACATCTATATGCTTCCACTCACTGTCTTTATATTCAGCTTATTCTTCTTAGTCATTAATAGTGCAAGCTTCGTCACACCTCGATTGGACTGCAGACTGCCATTTCATAGTTAATTTGAGCTGATATGTGTCACTGATCTTCTTTATCTGGTGGTTGAACTGGTAATCTTTTACAAGAGTTCCATTTCGCAATGGAAATGTTTGTCCTTGATATACTTTAGCTTCACCTAAAA